GAAGACTGAGAGGGGATTTAATAGCAGCCTTCAACTACTTGAAGGAGAGTTCAAAAGAGGGTGGAGCTGGACTGTTCTCAGGGGTGGCAGATGACAGGACAAGGAGCACTGGTCTCAAGTTGCAACACAGCAAGTTGAGGTTAGATATTGGGAAAAACTTTCTAATTAGGAGGGTAGTAAAGCACTGGAACAGGTTATCCAGAGAGGCGTTGAATCTCCATCCTTGGAAGTTTTTAAGACCCAGCTAGACAAAGCCTTGCCTGAGATGACCTCTAGTTTAGGGGTGGTCCTGCTTTGAGCAGGGGGCTGGACTAGATGACTTCCTGAGGTCTCCTCCAACCCTAAATTTGCTACGATTCTATGGGATGCCCATGCTGTTTAAGTGGTAGGGGACAGGGCCGAGCCATTTGTGGCAGAGGCAGGATCTGGACTGCTGGCACTGCAGGTGGCTGCATGGTTGGGAGAGGAAAGGTAAGGGGGAGCTGGGCTGCCAGTGCTGGCAGGGGGTGGGGAGGGAGAGAAGGGCTCGAATGAGCTGTAGTTATGGCCAGCAAGTGTTTGGTAGCTGGGCTGCCCTGCACAGTGCACATGGCTGGGAAATGGGGGATCAGGCTGTCTGCACTGTGCGCCAGTGGGAGAGACATGCTTTGCTGTCTGTGTGGCAGGGGAGAGCACGGGGAGGTGGAGGGTATCACATGTCCAGCAAGAAGCACTCAGTCTGTGGCCCATGTTTCTTGTGGACAGTTTGGCATATGGCCTCCAGCTGCTGGGAAGTTCGATAGCCCTGACCTGCAAGACAAAACTGACAAACCAAAGCAGCTATTGCCTTTATCTAAAGAGCAGACTTTAATTTTCTCCATTATGCTATGTTGATTCCATATGGAAGTAGATCAAAACTAGATGTGGTTAAAACATTGAGGGTTCAGATGGAGAGGAAATCCAAGGTGTGTGGGGCCCAGCCTCTTCCCCTACACTGCCCAAAGGGGTGGGAGGCTGGGGGCATCAAGGGGCCGGGCTGCCCATTTGCTGGTGCCTACCAGGAGGAGTTCACCCCTGAGTGGCTGCAGGGAGCACACACCCTGGGCAGGGTGGCCACTTTCTCTTCCTGTATTCCCAGAACTCCTGCCCAGCCTGGCTGCCCCTGTGTGATTGGGGTGGGACCAAACTCCTGGCAAGCTCTGATTATCAGGGATCCTGGTTTTCCTTGATTAAGAAGTTGCAAATTCTCTCATAAAACACCCCAAAATCTGTGATTAAAATGACAGGCCCCTCCCTGTCCCATATGCCTCTGGCTCTATTGGTGCCCTTCACCTCGCCCCTCCCCACAGCCCCTTGCCCCCCTGCCCTGCTTTGCCGGAAGGGGCTCCCAGTTGCCAGGGCTATGGGCCAGGGTCCTAGGTCTACAACCCTCTGCCCCTGCAGGAAAGCTAGCTGCCGCTGCAAACTCGACACTGTCCTGGCAATGCATCCCCTGCGCATGCAGCAGCAGTGAGTGGCACAACCGCGCACCACTGCTCCGGCTTCAGCCGTGTAGGCAGGGGATGTGTCGCCAGGGCAGTGTGGAGCTCCCAGCGGCAAGGAGATCCCCGTGCGACCCTGCCATGCCAGATCGCGTCCACTGGGCTGTGGAGGCCCTGGAGGAGAGTAGCAGGGTCAGAGCCCAAGGCAGCAATGGGAAGCCCGCACCCCACTGCCTGTGCACAGATTTGGGGGGCATGGGTCCCCCTGCCCCCCCAGGAGTGTGCTCCATGTTGGGAGCTTACCCTGCCCCCCCCGGATAAGCTGTCCAGGGCCCCATCCTGCTCCTTGCTGGGGCCATGCAGCTGTGTATTGTGGCCCCAGACCCCAAGTTCCACACACTGCCCAGCTCAGCGGCAACCCCAGCCCTGCCCAATGCCCTCCCTTCCTCCCTATGGGGGTCTAATTCCCCCTCCCCACTTACCTATAGGAGCTGCTCTCCAGGCTGCTTGGTGGCCACGTGTATTTACATGCACATGGTGCTCCCTGCCTGACTGCCCCCCTCCTGCTCCCTCCCAGCCCTTTGCAGGCTGAAACTCCTACACCCTGCAGAGACCAGTTTGCAAAACTGTATAATCCACGAGTTTCTCCACTAAAATGAGAAATCCGTGTTTGACTCTGGTAAAGGGTAAGATCCGCAGTTTTCTCTGTATTTCCATGAGAAATGGAAGACCCGGCTCCCTGCTGATAGCACACGGGCCAGACCGGGCTCGCCAGATGAATTTGGTTTTTTGTTGTTGTTTTTTTTTGTTTAACATCCCTTTTCTATAAATGTTGATGATTACCAACAGAAATATTTAAATATTTTCTGTCAGTCTGTGAGTGACAGGTGAAATCAAAGTTTATCAATTAAAAAAAATCAAATCCTGCCATGCCTGTGTCTGTTGCATCAAGTTGCCAGATGTATTTTTAAGGAAGACTAAATGTCAAAAGTAGGCATCTCGGTTCTGCCTGCAAAAATGTACGTGTTTACCTGCAAATCCTTTATTTGAATTGACAGAGGAGCTTTAGTCCTTGTAAACAGTTATCTGTATGTGCCCATGTAGAGTTTATCAGTGCCACTTAATAGTCAGCACTTATGAATTTGGATGAATCAAGTAAGAGACTTTCTCTTAGCCTTTTAATGGGAGTCAGGGTGGAAACCAAGTTGACCCCTCTGACCTCCCAAATACTTTTCTGCTGTTGACATGCATCTTAGCTTATCCAGTAGTAAAAATCATGTGAAGGTGTTCAAAGTGACTTGAGCCCTCCCCCCCCCCGGCTCCAGGATGCATTTTCTGGAAGCCTGCTCATAGTTTAAGTTTTGATGCATGTGCCATACAAAAAGACACTGCAATCTTTGTTTAGGGGTACTTGTCAACGTGACTTGCTTGCATGCATGCATACATAGTCATAAATATAATATCTTTAATTTAAAACATAATATTATGGATCTGATTAGATTTTGTGTGAGTATGAGGATAAGGACTTATGCCTGCAGAGGACATTCCAAGTTTTCTTTCAGGTTTGGCTTAATTTAAACCAAGTAATGAAAGGACTTTTTTTTTCCAAACTAACATTTTGGGGCTTTAAAAGCCAGTTAGATTAGAACATGATCTAAGCCTGAAATAAATAGATCCAACATCGCATCCCAAAGCCTTTACACAAATAAGTATTTCTGTTTAAAACCTGGGCAATTTAGAAGATTGCTCCCTACCCCAAATTTTCTCAAGTATCTTCACCAAGTTTGATACAAAGCTGCTGGCTGGTGGGAAGTTGAAGCGAGTATAATAGAAAAGAGCAGAGCTCTGCAGTTACCAGAGTTAAAATTATATGTTATAAATAAATGCCTGAGATCAAGTTCATTGTCTGCCTTGGGGCTTTATAAATCTCAAATCTTAAAACCAACAGTTTTCAAATTGTAGCCCCACAATGCATGATAAAAAGTTAATAAGCAGATACCATTTTGGTTTACTAAATATAAGAGCAGTTACTTTTTTAGTTTTCCTGTAAACTATAAGGAACTCTGATTCCCACCAGCGCTTTAGATTAGAGCTTTAGGCTAGAAATGTGAAAATTTCATTGGAAGGACATATTTCTGGTCTAAGGGGTATTGCATGGGTTAAAGCATGACCCTGTCTGACCTCTGATAATGTGTACAGTACAAGTATGAACAACATCATGTAGTATCTTCAGGATGCCATGTATTGTGCTTAAATCAATGGATATCAGGCCTGGCTCCCTTCTGATATACCTCCTTTACGTGTGTTAAGTAGCAGGACCCTGAGCCCTGCCTTCGCTATGCATTCACTTGTCCAGGACGTGCTGTGTGTCCAATACTATATCTCCTTCCTACTGTAATTTCATTTGGCGCTGAGCTTCCTGTGGGTGTCTCCTTCATGTGTTAGGTGGGAGTAGGCAGCACTCTACGAATTTCTCAGCCATATGCATATGCTTGCGCAGAGCCAGAGGAACACAAGAAGCTGCTGCATGATTGTATTAATCTCCGCAAAGCACGCTTTAAAAGGCTTACACGTTTGACAGGTTGCAGTCATGTTGCACCTAACAGCAGGCTTATGCGCTATTAAGACAGGTCATAAAACAGGACAGTCTCCCTGCCAGCTGTGTCACCTTTTTTTTCAAATACAACTGCACTTCTACTGCCCTTAGAAAATAACTGAAAATATCTGTTCTTTTCAAATGAAAACTGATTTTTGTTAAGCCCTTGTTTCCAGCAATGCAAGAGCCTTTTTGTTCACATTTTAGGGGCGGGGATCTCTAACTCTTGGTTGGTTGGAATTTAGACTGCTGTTCGCTCTTATGTATTACACTGAGAAAGTTGTATCCTAAAATTTATTCTTCAGTCTAAAAACATTTATACCTTCCATTATTTTAATTGACTCAGGCTTGGCTTATGATGTTTTTGGGTCAAGTGTTGCACATCTTGTGTTACATCTTCCCAGGGAAATTTACTGACGGAGCTGTAGCAGCGTAAGTTATTCTATCATACTCCTTTCACAGAAGGAGCTAAGTCATTATTGTGGATTTAACAGTATACTGTTAAATCGGTTGCATTTTGCAATAATGTATCAACACTCTACTTTATTCTCCAGTGCCAGTCAGTTTTCCTTCTATAATTAAATTGTACTCGAATAGCCATGCTGACTTCATTACTGTAAGAGATGTGCTGTCTGCTAATTTCTTAATTGTTTTGTGCTCTAAATACAGAATATTTATTTTTTCCACTTCTGCCCACAGAGACCAAGCTAACTACAATTGGTCTTCCAGCAATTAGTGTGGCTAGTGGAGTCTGCACTGGAAACCGCATTATCACCAAGATGACGTGTGGTGATATTACATTTTGAAATGAGTGTTTTGATTCTAGCCAAGGAGAACTCATTTTCTAATGGGAAAAGTGACATAACTATGAATAAACAATATTGTTTTTCAAAATGCTGTTTCAAATTATGCATGTATCTTAATCTCCTTCCCTTCCTTTGCAGGTGATAGAAGACAACACGGGCGTTCGCCGGGTGGTGGTCACGCCCCAGTCTCCCGAGTGCTATCCTCCCAGCTATCCGTCTGCTATCTCCCCAACCCATCATTTACCTCCATACCTGACACACCACCCCCATTTTATTCACAACTCTCATACAGCTTTTTACCCTCCTGTCACTGGACCTGGAGACATACCACCCCAGTTTTTCCAACAGCATCATCTTCCCCCAACAATATATGGTGAACAAGGTGAGCAGAAAAAAATGTTGTAGTCTTTAAATGTGCGTTTTAACGGGTTTGCAGAGTGCGAAGAGCAAAGGGTTTTGGATTAATGTTAAGTGATTTTTCTTTTTCCCCACACCTCATCCCCTGGCGCTGTCTTTTGAACTGAATTCCTTCCTTTCAGCTGCAGAATCAGGGAGAGGTGGGGAGTGAATCACTCCAGGCTGAAATAACTCAAGGCTCTTACGTCCTACACCTCTAAGTTATAGGATACAAAGTGAACTCCAATTCATTTTCGCTATAAAGGAGAGTAGTACTCCTGCCTGTGTCCCAAATGACTTGCTTGAGTTCAAGTTGCTCATTGTGACTGTGTACATTATATTTATATTCTGCCAATTTTCCTTTAGGAGCAGAAGTGGGGCAGGATTAGGAACGGGGTTTAGGTCTGACAGGGTCTTACTTCAGTCAGTGTCATCATAAGCCAGTAGCAGGCTTTCTCTTGTCACCAGCAGATGGAGATAGTCCTCCTTTCTGCCTCTTGTCAGATCAGAGCTGCAGTGGACTTTTCCAAACTAAAGGATGTTCGAGTTAATCTGTTTCTTAAGACGCTGCAATAGGTCACTGAAAAGCACTATCTCATTCCCAAGGGTAATATGGTCACCCTAATCCTCAAAGGATAAGTAAATAGCTTAGTAAAGGAGAGAAAGCAACTTATTTCTTTCTGAACTATGCATTATTGTGTCTCCTCTACCCTTGAGATAAGCTTTTGTTTCGTCTGAAGGAGTGCATTAATCATAAAGGAACACAGATAGTTTTGCTGATGTAGGTATTACTGTGTGAGGTGGTTATCATGAAAATGTTCACTTCACAGATCCATTTTTTTTCTCTTGTACACCCATATTATGAAAATTCCCAGGATTTATAGAATTTTTCTATGGCATATTCCAAAATTACGGCTGAAATAGAATATCTGACGTTTTCTTAGAGGTCATAATCTCAGCAGGGTGGTGAAAAAAATGTAGGATTGAATTTAAACGGAGTCCAAGATCTTGTGCATCTGATTTCTTGCCAAACAATATGCAAGCTTTATGTTGAACTAATTGATGCTTTCATGCTGTGGAAAATTCTGATATTTTTTTT